GACTATTCGATCATCGGACGAAAATTTTCGTCCGAAAATCGTAAGGTGTATGGGCACCTTTAGAGTAAAATTTAGAACAGCTGAAATCTTTGATTATTGGTTGCAATTAAGATTTGAACATAACACTTAAAATGACATTAATCCGTGAAAAAATTCCATTGCATATTAAAACCTAAAATGTTAATAAATCCCAATTTATAAAAGCATATAGTGCTACAGACCTCAGCACTTACCACGTACACATGCCTGCTTTTCTTTTAATTCTGTGGGTGCTTTCAATTCTTTCTATGAAAAATTAATCTTCCCTAGTTGCTGTTTTCGGGTGGCTACAGCCCCTTACAGGGTCTCATGGCTGGTGCACATCTCTTTATGTCCACACAAACAGCCCCAGTGGCAAGCCACTCTCCTGCTCCTCCTTCCTCCCTGCACCTGTGCTGTCCCTAGTGCACTTTGCTCAGGGCGTGCTCTCCCCTACCCGAGAGTTCAGGGGAATTGTCCCTTGGCGACCTGGAGCATGTAAGTGTTTGGGCACACAAATTAATCCAAGAATGTACTAGGGAATGTTTATCTGCTTGCTTGCAATGCATTCAGTTAAAAAATGTTGAGTTTTTGATATTCCTTTATTCAATGTAACACAGTCCTGTATATAATACAATAATCATCATTTAAACCTTTCATGTTTAGCATGCACACAGTTAAGCCTGATTTACTGCATAAATAGTATAAAAAGGGTATTTTATAAAGATATTTACAAAAGAACTTTGCATGACTCTGTGCATGGATTTAAAGGCCTTTTGTTTAAAATATGTTACTTCATGCTGACTCATAAATAGCATTCCCAGTTGCTGGGTTTTGGTTTTAGAACTGTAACTGGAAAGCACTGTCCTTTTGTATTTTTTTAATAATGCGATGCTGTTTTATCCAGCTTATATTTAACTTCCCATTCTGTAATTTTTAGCCAGCTGTATTTATGAATAAACAGAAATAGACTTCACTGACTCATATCTAGTCCATTAGACAACTGTCTGCTTCCAATAAAAGAACCATTATTGTGTCTAAACACGCTGCTTTAAAGCAGTGTTTTCTTAATTGGTGGGTCACGACCCAAAAGAGGGTTGCAAAACGATGTTTAGTGGGTTGCTAACTGCCTTCCACTGTGCTAGGTGAGAGGCTTCTCAGCCTACCCCTAGCACAGCACTCTCAGTTCTCACACCGGTCAGCATATTTTGAATGGCTGCTCAGAGCGAGAAAAAAAAAAAATGTCCTACAATGTCAATCCAGCATTAATCACGTGGTCCAGCGATGTACATCGTCCAGAAATACAGATTCCTACCGACCCAACGAACAAAAAAATACTTGGCGCGTGCCGCCCGACAGAATGTTTACCTCGGGCAGTGGGCAAGAAATAAAGAAAGCCTGCTATTGGCTATTTCAAATTGTACTAGCCAATAGCAGGCTGCCTATTGTACTCCCCCCTGCTTTCTGTCAAGCCGCAGAGGAGACCCTGAGAGAGAAGTTTCTCTCTCAGGTCCGCTCCTCTGCAGAAGCAATAACCATCCTGCTATTGGCTATTTCCAATTGCAATAGCCACTAGCAGGATGGTTATTGCACCCGCCCACTCCCTGCTGTCAATGAGCAGAGGAGCGGACCTGAGAAAAGCCCTTATCCCCATCAACATGGAAACCCTACTGCATGTTGGGACTCTACCCCATGTTGAGGGTATGGTGCAGGGGACAATGCTCAGATCAAGGGTCAGGGATTTTAGGGGGGACCCCACACTTTTTTGTTGTTTTTTTGGGTGTGGAGTCCCCCCTTAAAACTCCGACCAGACCTAAAGGGCCCGGTATGAATTGGAAGGGGGGGCGCTGGTTTTTAAAAAAAGATTTAACCAATAACAACAGTCCGAATTGTATTCGGACACATCCAAATTTTGATCACCTCAAAATTCGGATTAGCTTGCATTCGGCGTTTGATTCATTCGAAAAATTTGGATGCATTCGAATATCCGAATTCACAAAATTTCATCCGAATTTGCATTCGGCAAGAAACAAAATTCACATGTCTACTCCAGATAAGGGACATTTGGAGCTATGTGAACGGGTCCTTAAAGGAGAACTATGGGGTAAGTATTTTTCCCCATAGTTCTCCCAAGGTCACGGGAGGACATAAACTAGCTTCCTCCCGTGACCCAAAGCTCAGTATACCGCGAGCTGCAGCTCACGGTATATTGAGACCGCCGCAGCCGGGACGGGTCCCGACATTACTGTCGAGATCCACCCAGCTGCGTAATTGACAGCTGGCTCTGCTTATCTAGAGGCAGAGCCAGCTGTACCCGCCCCATCCCCCGTCTGTCCCGCCAGTCAGCGCTGGAGGATCGGAGCGGGGAGGGGGGGAATCCCTGCAGGGAGCTGTGAGTGACAGCCACGGCTCTCTGCAAGGACATGATCGAGAAGTCAGCGAGCGACGGTATGCGTTCGCTCACTTCCCGATCTATTGAGCCGATGTGTGACAGTCTCATTGTCACACGTCGGCTTGAACTATGAGGTTGAGTGAAAATCACTCACCTCATAGTTCTCCATAAATGTATATTTCACTTTTACAGTCAAATTTGAGAAAACTCTACATGTTTGTTATGTGTTCCCATTCACACAGCATAACGAAAAATTATAATAAGAAAAAGATTTCTTACCCTTTAGATGTTTTTTGTTGCAGCAGGCAAAATGACTGATCCCAGGTTTTTCTCAGCAGCTTAACAGTGATCTGTCCTTATAGAAGGGATTAGATTAGGATCTGATTTAGGTCTGAAATCTGAGGATTGTGTTTCTCTCATTAACATCCTTAATGCAGAAGCCAGGCTTGTAACCCTTTAACCAAGGAGTGGGCAAACTCTGACCCTCCAGCTGTTATGGAACTATAAATCCCATGAGGCATTGCAAGATTCTCACAACCACAGGCATGACCCCAGAGACAAATGCATGATGGGATTTGTAGTTTCACCACAACTAGAGGACCGGAGTTTGCCCATCTCTGCTTTAAAGAGGAACTTTACCCATATCTTTAAAATAACAACAAAAACACCTTTAGAGATGTTTAGTAATGGCAATTTACAAACACATACTTCTAGATAACTGCCTTTTTTAATATTCTTTGCATTCCTTATTTCTCTTTTCTTCCCCAGTCTTTTGACAGTGACCATTTTTACTCAGGGCAGGTTACTAGCTCTCCTTTCACTTCCTGGAACGGTGGCACATGTTATTAGGACATGTGACCATGCACATCATCTCAGGGGAGGAAAATGCCTTTCCCCGAGATCTCATGAAATTACAGATGATATTTCGCAGCAATGCTCTGCTGATGTAACCTTCCCAGGATGCAACACTTTGGCACATTACATCATTTGTTGCAGAAGTGGACCAGGAAGTAGATGAACTCTATTTGTAAGTAAATGAAACACACGTTTGTTTAACTAATTAATGTAATATGATGTTAAATCATTATACAGAGCTGCGTGCTGATGTGATTTTTAGTGAAAGGGGGTAAAAGTCCACTTTAACCCTTTGTTGGGACAGGCTTCAGGTGTTCAAAACTACTTTACAAGTCATAATGAAATGAGCCAGCTAGGGGTGTCTCTAGCCTTCTTGCCACCTGAAGCTGGTGTGTGTGGGTGCTGCATCATGTCCCTGCCCAGTTCTGGCTCCAGCCTGCATTCCCCTCAGCTTATGGCAAACAGTGATGTCACTGGTTGCCAGGAGCTGAGCAGGATGCCGCCCAGAGCACCCTAGGTTGCTAATGCAGAGCGATATGTATGTCCCTTACACATCTCCTCACCTGGCTCTTAGCAACCTAAAGCTGCCCATACACCTTACGAATATCGGCCGATTTTCATATGCGATCGGGTTTTCGTCCGATATTCGTAATATTCGATATGCGTGATGGGCAGTGCACAACCGCAAATACTGTACAGTCGATTGACTTTTGACTAACCAGCAGTTTCGAAAACTTCGGTCGATAGTACGATTTTGGCAAGGTTGGTGGTGTTTCCGTGCATCAAAATTCATACAATTTACACTGCTCATGCGCAAACGAAAATACGTGCGGTCGATTACCGAAATTCGTCCAGGTGCTTTTTTTTTTTTATTACTGCTGATTGAACTGTGCGATGGTCGGGACAGGATGGGGCCGCCATACAAAAATCGTACGACGGTTCGATCATCGAACGAAAAGTTTCGTCCGATGATCGCAAGGTGTATGGGCAGCTTAAGACGCTCTGGCCAGAAAGGAAGCAGCAGGCACACTGCACACTACACACTTCATGCCGCTCTGCCTGCTGCCCCCCCC